AATGTAAAGTAGCTAAAGCAGATGGAAGAAACTCTGAAGAAAATGGCTGATCAGAAGATTTCAAATGGCAGTTTGAAAAGACAAAGTATTGTAATTAAAAATATGCAGACACCTGGAGTTAGAAAACCAAAAGAGAAGAGTACATTCAGCATTTCTCAGACTGAAAGTACTAAAAAAAAATACAAGCCTCAAGTTGCAATATGAAAGTATTCTATGAGCAAAATTCTATGAGCAAAAATCTTAAACTATGCAGGAAGAGGCATTGAAAGAAGATGGAAAAAATTCTGAGTCACAAAACCAAATAGAAACAACTGATGGTCTTAATTTCAGGAGGTAGCATATAATCAACAACCGAAATTGTTAAAGGAAGAAATCCAAACTTCACTGAGACAATGGTACCAAAAAACAAAACCCCAGCAATTAAAAGAAGAGCAACTGAGATATTTCAAAAATGGATTCCTAGGTGAAAGTGCTCATTCATCAATGGCAAGATATTTGGAAGGTAACTTGGCCAGTTGATTGAAAGAAATCCATATACTTGCCCATTCAAAAAAAAAAAAAAAAAAAGTGATCAATGGAATGCAGAGATCATTTTTAAAAAATTATTAATATTACATGCAAGTATAATTTTGTTGATATAATTTTTTAATTATCATAGCAGTACATTGGCAGGAAATTGCTAGAAATTCAAGCCAGATTCAGATTATGAAGGATGTCATTGCTGATATCAGATGGATCTTGGATAAAAGTAGAGAATATCAGAAAGATATTTACCTGTGTTTTATTGACTATACAAAGGCATTCAACTATGTGGCTCATAAGACATTATCGATAACATTGTGAAGATCGGGAATTCCAGAAGAGTTCACTATACTCATACCAAACCTGTACCTAGACCAAAATATAGTTGTTCAAACCGAACAAGGGTATACTGCATGGTTTAAAATTAGGAAAGGTGTGTGTCAGGGTTGTACCCTTTCACCATATTTATTCAATCTGTAAACTTAGCAAATATTTCAAAAAGATGGACTATATAAAGAAAATAATGACATCAGGACTGGAGGAAGGCTTGTTAACAACATGTGGTATGCAGATGATATTACGTTGTTTGTTGAAAATGAGAAGGACTTGTAGAACTTCCTGATGAAAATCAAAGACTATAGTCTTCAGTATATATCACAACTCAGTGTAAAGAGTACAAATACCCTCACAACTGGACCAATGCACAACATCATGATAAACAGAAAAAAGATTGACGTTATCAAGGATTTCATTTTACTTGCGTCTATAATCAGTACCCATGGAAGTAGCAGACAAGAACTCAAACTAGATATTGAATTGGGAAAATCTGCTGCACAAGAGCTGTTAAAAGTGCAAGAGCAAAGATGTCACTTTGAGGATTGAGGTGCACATGATGCAAGTCACGATATTTTCAATCACCTCATATGCATGTGAAAGAATCAATGGAATTGAACAATGGTGTTAATGAAGAGTTTTTAAAATATCAATCATTGCCAGTAGAATGAACGAATCTGTCTTAGAATAAGTATAGCTGGAATGCTACTTAGCAGTGATAATGGCAAGCTTTTGATATGTTACCAGGATGGACCAGTCCTTTGAGAAGGTTATCAGCCTGGTAAAGTAGAGTTGGTAAAAATGAGAAAGAGCCTCAACTTGATGGATTGATAAAGTGGGTGTAACAATGGGCTCACACATAACAACAGGCACAGGACCAGGCAGTATTTCATTCTGTTGTACATAGGGTAGATACATGTAAGTATCAACTGAATGGAACCTAACAACAACAATACTGTAAATGGTATGCAGGAAATTAACTTTTCCATAGTTATCTTGTATTCTGTGAGATTGTTGTACATATTTATTCATTTCAGTGAGGTTTTTTAGTCAATTCTTCAGGATTTTCTATATAGAAAATCTCTAAACCAAGAGACTTGCATACCTTCCTTCCAAATCTTTATGCATTTTATTCTCTTTTACTATAGTATTTAACTACATAAGCTTTAAGTGTGATGTTGAGTTGAAATGATGAACAAGGACATCCTTGATTTGTTCTGATCTTAGGGACAAGAGCCTTGTTTCTGACCATTGTGATGTTAACTATTGGTTTTGTTAAGGATTTTATTATTATTATTAAATTGTGTAAGTTCCTCTCTATTCTGATTTTCTGAGAGGTGTTATCATAAGTGGATATTGAATTTGGTCAAATTGTTTTATACATCAATTGGTATGATGGACTGATGTTTCTTTGTTGTTGTTGTTAGATGTCATGAAGTTGGTTCTGACTCATAGCAACATATGCACAATAGAACTAAATACTGCCGGGTCCTGAGACAGCCTCAGAATCATTGTTCAGCTTAACCCACTATTGCTGCCACTTGGCCAAACCAACTCACTGGTGTCTTCTTTTTTGTCACTGAACCTCCACTTTATCAAGCATGATGTTCTTCTCCAGGGATTGAAGATAATATGTCCGAAGTATGAGAGACAAAGTCTGGCCATCCTGGCTTCTAAGGAGCACTCTGGCTGTACTTCTTCCAACACAGATTTGTTTGTTCTTCTGGCAGTCCATGGTACTTTCAATATTCTTCACCAACATCAGAACTCAAATGCATCGATTCTTCCACAGTCTTTATTATTCATTATCCAACTTTGACATGCAAATGAAGCTACTGAAATTACCATGGCTTGAGTCAGGTGCACCTTAGTCCTCAAACTGACATCTTTGCTCTTGAACACTTTAAAAAGGACTTATGCAGCAGATCTGCCCAATGCAATCAAACGTTGTTTGATATCTGGACTGAAGCATCCATGAGTGTTGATAGTGCATCCAAGCAAAATGAAGTCTTTGACAACTTCAGTCTCTTCTCCATTTGTCATGATTTTATTTATTGGTCCAGTGGTGAGGATGTTTTTCTTTACATTGAGGTGCATTCCATATAGAAGACTGTGGTCTTTGATATTCATCAACAAGTATTTTAAATCGTCTTCACTTTCAGCAAGCAAGGTTGTATCATCTGCATATTGCAGGCTACTAATTAATCTTCCTACAATTCTGATGTCATGGTCTTCATATAATTCAGCTTCTCAGATTATTTACTCAAAGTTCCAGATAAAATTAGTGTAGTGAAAGAATACAACCTTACCACACATCTTTCCTCATTTTAAACCATTCAGCATTCTGTCTGAACCACTGCCTCTTGGTTTATGTACACACTCCTCAAGAGCACAATTAAGTGTTCTGGAATACTCATTCTCTGCAATGCTGTCCATAGCTTGTCATGATCCACACAGTCAAAGGCCTTTGAAGAGTCAATAAAGTACAGATAGACATCTTTCTGGCATTCTTTGCTTTCATCTGCTGTCAGCAATGATATATTTCATTCTAGATCCTCATCTGATTTTGGTTTGAACCTCTATCAGTTCCCTATCAATGTACTGGTGCAGCTATTTTTGAATTCCGTTTAGCAAAATTTCACTTGCATGTGATATTAATGATATTTCCCAATGATTTCCGCATTCTGTTGGGTCACCACTCCTTGGAATGGGAACAAATATGGATCTCCTCCAATCAGTTGGCCAGGTAGGTAGCTGTCTTCCAAATTTCTTGGCCTAGATGAGTGAGTGCCTCCAGTACTGCATCAGTTTGTTGAAATATTTCTATTTGTATTCCATCAGTTCCCAGAGCATCGTTTTCTGCCAATGCCTTCAGTGTGCCTCGGACTTCTCCCTTTGATACCACTGGCTCTTGATCATATTCTATCTCTTAAAATGGTTGAAAATTGACCATTCCTTTTTGGTACACAGAATCTATGTGTTCTTTCTAACTTTTTTTGATGCTTTCTGCATCATTCAATGTTTTGACCAAAGATTCCTTTAGTATTGCAAGTCAAGGCTTGAACTTTTTCTTCAATTCTTTCAGATTGAAATTGCTGAATATGTTCTTCTCCTTTCATTTTTCTAGCTCCAGATCTTTGCATAAACAAACATAGCTGAGTTTGTCTTCTGGAACTGACCTTTGAAATTGTCTGTTCAGCTTTTACCACCTCACTTCTGCCATTTGCTTTGGCATCTCTATGCTGGAGAGCAAGTTTCAGAGTCTCTTCATCCATTTTGGTCTTTTTCTTCTTACTTTTCTTCCAAATGATTTTTTGCTTTCTTCCTGTGTGACGTTCCCGAGGTCATCCTAAAATTCTTCTGGCCTTCAATCATTAGTGTCTAACACATCAAATCTGTTCTTGAGACGATCTCTAAATTCAGGTGGAATATGTTCAAGGCCATATTTTGGCTCTCATGGACTTGTTTTCATTTTCTTTAGCTTCATCCTGAACTTGCATATGAGCAATTGATGGTCTGTTCCACAGTCTGCCCCTGGCCTTGTTTGGACTGTTGTTGTTATTGTTGTTCTATTGCCCCCTCAGCACACAAATATCCTGTAGTAAATTTAAGGGCAATGATTTTGAAAAATAATTTCACTGTTGTTTTTCAGGGTCTTTAACACACTTGGCACAAAACAATAGGTCACAAATATTTGTTGAATGAACAAAATATGGTCACAGGGAATTTGGAATGAATAATATTGCCTTGTGAAAATTCTTAGGACTAGGAGTAAGGATGGCTAGTCAGTTTCAACATAAGGTATATAGGTTCTTTAGGATTCCATAGCAACAGGGCAATAAACCTTTAGGCAATATATACAAGGAGTCCTGGTGTGGCGCTGTGGGTTAATATGCTGTACTGTAAGGTTGTTTTGAACTACGAAGTTGGTGGTTCAGACTCACCAGTTGCTCCCCAGAAACCCTATACAGGGCTGCTATGGGTTGGAACCAACTGGACAGCACTTCACAATAGCAACAATATAGAGAGATTAACTAATTAAGCATATTTTTTAAACAACCACAGAATTTTTGTTAAGATGTTGATTACTACTTATGACTAAATTATATTGCTCTTATCTCTTTTTCTGTAGTTTCATCAGCTATATGGAACCAAGAAACCAAACACATGTTTCACAATTTATCCTCCTGGGGCTTTCAGAAAAGGCTGAATTGCAGCCGTTACTTTTTGGGATTTTCTTACTCATGTATCTGGTCACTTTCATCGGCAATCTTCTCATTATCCTGGCTATAATTACCGACTCTCATCTCCACACACCCATGTACTTCTTCCTCTCTAATCTCTCTTTTGCAGACATCTGTTTCACCTCCACTACCATCCCAAAGATGCTGCTGAATATCAAGACACAAAGCAAAGTCATAACCTATGAAGGCTGCCTGAGTCAGATGTATTTTTTTATGCTCTTTGGAGGATTAGACAATTTTCTCTTGACAGTGATGGCCTACGACCGATTTGTGGCCATCTGTCACCCGCTGCACTACATGGTCATCATGAACCCCAAAATCTGCTGCCTCTTCCTTCTGGAATCTTGTTTAGTGAGTGCTCTGGACTCTCTATTGCAGGATTTAATGATTTTGAGATTGTCTTTTTGTACAGAGTTGGAAATTCCCCATTTTTTCTGTGAGCTTTATCAAGTAATCCAACTTGCTTGTTCTGACACCTTCCTCAATGACCTGCTGATGTATATTGCAAGTGGATTTCTGGTTCTTACTCCACTCATTGGTATCATACTATCGTACTCTAAGATTGTATCCTCCATATTGAGAATGTCATCAGCTGAGGGCAAGCATAAAGCCTTTTCTACTTGTGGGTCTCACCTCACAGTAGTTGTCTTGTTCTATGGGACATTTCTTGGGGTATATCTTAGCTCAGCTGCTACCCAAAATTCCAGAGAAAGTGCGATAGCCTCAGTGATGTACACTGTGATCATACCCATGCTAAACCCATTTATCTATAGTCTTAGAAACAAGGATATGAAGCAGGCCCTAAAAAAACTCTTCCACTGAGAAACATTCTCTACATACGAGGATTCTTCATTTCAGGTTGAGAGAGGCCTTCATGAGTAACAGCTCTAAAAACTGAGGCCTAAAGTAAGATCACTTACCAGTTCCTTGAATGATAGTCTGAAATTTGCCTATTTACAGATTTTAATATCATAGATTTCACTCTTGGAGCTGTTTCTCCTGTATTTTCATTTTAAAATTTTACATCTGTCGCTATAGTCTCTGGGTTAAGTGTAGAAAACAGATTCCACTAAATAAAATGTGTTGTTTCTGTAGTTAAGTACTGTCCAGTTCATTCTAACTCATGCTGACCCTGTATAGGGTTTCCAAGGAGTGGTTAGTGAATTTGAACTACGAACCTTGAGGTTCAAACTGACCTTGCAGTCCAGTGTTTACCTTACAGCATCACTCCAGGAATGAAATTTGGCAGTAAGAAATCAATACAGGTTATTGGAAACTTGAAAAGTATAGGAATAAATGGAGGAATGAAAGCATGCTTCTGTATCTAGCAGATGAAAATGACTGCCTCTTGCACTACCTACTTTTTTTTTAATTTAAAACCTTTTTATTGTGAATTGACTGAAGGTTTATAGATCATCAGATTTGCATTCAACGAATCATACACTTTGTTTCATCTCAATGACTGCAGTCCCCTCCATGCAAAACCAGTTGTCCTGCTTCCTCCCTGTGGTTCTTGTTTTCGTCTCTCCTCCTTTGCCAACCATCCTGAATTTTCTCCTTGAGTAAATGTGGTCCTGTTCATTTTGATGGTTGACCATTCTGTGGTGTACGTACCTCACTAGTGTTGTTGTCCCCCTATAGACCTATCTGTGCTTGGCTGGAAACTGAGCCACAGGGGTGAGTTTGGTTCCAGACCTGCCGTGGGACCAAGGGCCATAGTCTCAGGGTTCTACCTGTCCCTATCTGACCAGTAAGCCTGGTCTGTTTTTTTATGATTTGTACAAGAATTTTTATCTTTCCATTTTGTTGTATAGGTGGGATAAGGCATCTAACTTATTTAATATTGTTTCCAAGATGTCTTCATCTGGGTTTTGTAGAGAAGCAAAAACAGTGAAACGTGTAAGCATGTCTTCTCTCTCTCTCTATATATATATATATTGTTGTTGATAAGTGCCATTGAGTTGGTTCCAACCCATACGGACCCTGTATAGGGCCTCTAGGGAACCACCAGTGAGCCTGAACTGCCGAGCCTGCTGTTCAAATGATCTTATAGTCCAGAGCATTAACCCACAGTGCCACACCAGGACCCAGATAGATAAACAGACACACAGACTCGATGACACTTAACAACAACAACATACATATGTGGAGTCTTGCTGTGGTGCTGTGGGTTAATGTGCTGGACTGCAAGGTCAGTTAGAACCACAAGGTCAGCAGTTCAAACTCACCAGCTTCTCCCCAGAAATCCTACACAGGGTCGTCATGAGTTGGAACCAATTCGATGTCACTTAACAGCAACAGTAACAAGGAGTCCTGGTGGCACTGTGGGTAAGGCGTTGGGCTGCTAACTACAAGGTTAGTATCTTCAAACCCACCAGCCGCCTCATGGAAAAAAGACAAGGCTGTCTGCTCCCTTAAAGATTTACAGTTTTGGAAACCCTATGTAGGGTTGTTGTGAGTCAGAATAGACTCGATGACAGTGGGTTTGTGTGTGTGTGTGTGTGTGTGTGTTTTTAATGTTTTATTACGAATTATGTGATAGTTTACCTGGGAGAACATTATCTTTACATTCATCCTATCTATATTGTTACATTGTCATGGTTACAATCCCCTCCATGCATCATCAACCAACAAAATGGTACACCCGGAAAGCCCGTCCCCTGGTCATCAGTACCCAGCCCCTCTCCTTCTCTGAGTCTAGAGTTCCCAGCCGCTCCATCTCTCCACATCATAGTCTCAGCCTCCATCTCTGGCATCACTGTTTCTCTGGGTAGGGTCCCCCACTTGAGGGTCCAGGGCTTTCGCTCCTGGACTGCAAAGTCAACCACTCCCTCCTTTTGCTACAAAACATCTACCTTTACATTTCCAACTCTCACAATCAGTCCTGATAGTAATTATTCACTATTGTATCATGTGAGTGCTATCCACATCTCTTTTCATCAGTCCCGCCCAGACAGACTGGATACTACTCAGTGGAGATAATACTTTCCTCCACGCCCTCTGGATCTAGGCTCCCTCTTGAAAGTTTGTAAGCTAGTCATTCCTTGCCTTTGTAGCTCCCCCATTTTGAGTAGCTAATGACCAAATTGCCCATCCCTATCTACCTTGAGTATTCAAGGGGTGGGAATGATCCTCACTGCATCCATAGGTGTAGGTCAAGTTTGTATCAGATTACTCATTTTTCCTTTTTTTTCTTCTTCTAATTGAGCTCTGATCATCCAGCCATTGAAGCCAGTTCAAGTGGGTATTACCTGCAAGTGTGGGTGTTCTTGTGCATGTGCCCTCTCTTCTTATCAGCTGCACACTTCATTCTCCACTCTAGTCCTCTGTGACTATGTCACTAACTCTGGGCCCAGGAGTCCCCAGGACTTGCCAAACTGCTGGCCAACCAGGTTTCCACCCGGGTTCACAGGAGGCTATTGAACGTGGTTGGTCTTAGCTCTCAGCTTCATTGCTGCTTTTCCCTCACTTCCCCTTATCGGTGAGCAACGCGGTCACCAGTCAGAGCACATGTCTGCTCATGTATTCCCATTGAGCACTAACTACCTTTGGAAAAAAATATTTTGTTACATCAAATTCTTTGCACATTTGCCAAAATTTATATCAATGAATTCCAAAACTAGCTTCTGCTAATCCAGATTTGGATTAGCACAAGTATTCGGAGTCACCACCTGAGTAAATTATATCACATTCACTCACTTACATCTAACGTTCCTCTCCACAGTCTAACACATAAATTACATTGGAGTGTTAGATCCTTTAGATACTGATGACGCTGACAATCTCTATGAGCCCATGGGAATGCATTGTTCTCAGTTTTTAAAAAGTTATTTGGGTAGGCAAAAGCATTTTAAGAAAAATTTCTTTTCCTACCATAATACCCTCACTTGCAGTTTACAATCAATGTGGATATTCTGCCAGTTGCCAACTCTTACTTTTCCAACTATGCATCATAGAAATTGGGAAATCAAAACAAGATATATTGCTTGACTTTGTGTGTACGTTGTGTGTACTAGTACTTTGGATATCATCTGGCCAGAAGCCACCATTTGGATCATCAACTCATGGTGACCTTTGGGGATGTGTTAGCAAGTGAGCCATATTTTTTTAACCCAGGTTGGACTCATTCACATTTTAAAAAGAAAGGTTTTGACAGTTTTATAAGCTGTTTTTAGTTTTGTTGTTTTTTTTTAATTTGTGCAGAATGTATAGGACCTTAATCAGAGTTTGTGGAGAAATTGTGAACAATTATCTAGTTCCCAAAGGTCTATATGGTTCAATAGATATGAATTAGCATGCTTGTTCACTGAGTACATTATTAGTTCATCATTGGGTTGTATGTATGTATGTGGCACATATTAAATCCACCACAATATCCATGTCTCCTTTCTCTTTAGAATTCTTTCTGTACATTATAGTAATATATTTATAGAAATGAACAACTTTCAGAACAAGCAATTGTTGAATCCAAGCTTCACTCAATTGAAATAAATTTTTGAGCTATGACAGTTTGTTCAAGCTTACACACTGAGCCCATCATTTCTGAAAATTCATTCTTATTATTGTCTTTGGCTTCTTCTAAAACTCCATAGACTGGCATCCATGGCATTAACTTTCACACATTTCCCAAGTTTTTATAATAAAAATTAGAGCTGTCCTGTGATCATTTCAATGCCTTAGTCTTCTTCTCCTTATTCAGACTTTGCATTTGTGTCTATCAGACATGTTGGGATGTAACTCTAAGTCTCAGTCTCAAGGCAATGAGAAGGGAAAAGGCTGGGGTATGACAAAAAATGGTGTAATACTTAAAGTTGTGTGTCAGCTTGACTGGACCAGGATTCTCAGTGGTTTTGCAGTTAAGATGTAGGTTCCCCATGATGAGATCCAATGTAATGTAATCACTTCCATGTTGAGATCTGCTGTTGTTGTTGTTGTTGCTGTTGTAAAGTGCCATCGAGTCAGTATCAACTCATAGTGACCCTATGTACAACAGAATGAAACACTGCCCAGTCCTGGGCCAACCTCACTACTGTTGCCACACTTGAGTCCATCGATGCTGCCACTTGGCAATCCATCTTCTTGGGGGTCTTCCTCTTTTTCTCTGACCCTCCACCTTACCAAACATGATATCCTTCTCCAGCGACTGTTCCCTCCTGACAATATGTCCAAAGCATGAGAGACTATGTTTGGCCATCTTGGCCTCTAAGGAGCACTCTGGTTGCACTTATTCCAAACAGATCTGTTGGTTCTTTTGGCAGCCCATGGCACTTTCAATAGTCTCCTCCAACACCATAATTCAAAGGCATCAATTCTTCTACAGTCTTCCTTATTC